GGTGCTATACACCGATCAGGCATAACATTATGACCACCTCCTTATTTCTACACTCATTGTCCATTTTATCAGCTCCACTTACTATATAGGTGCACTTTGTAGTTCTACAGTTACAGACTGTAGTCCATTTGTTTCTCTGCATACTTTGTTAGCCCCCTTTTACCCTGTTCTTCAGTGGTCAGGACCCCCATGGACCCTCACAGAGCAGGTACTATCTGGGTGGTGGATCATTCTCAGCACTGCAGTAACACTGACGTGGTGGTGGTGTGTTAGTGTGTGTTGTGCTGGTCTGAGTGGATCAGACACAGCAGTGCTGCTGGAGTTTTTAAACACCTCAGTGTCACTGCTGGACTGAGAATAGTCCACCAACTAAAAATGTCCAGCCAACAGTGTCCTGTGGGCACTGATGAAGGACTAGAGGATGACCAACACAAACTGTGCTGCAGCAGATGAGCTATCGTCTCTGACTTTACTTCTACAAGGTGGACTGACAAGGTAGGTGAGTCTAAGGTGAGTGGACAGTGAGTGGACACAGTGTTTAAAAACTCCAGCAGCACTGCTGTGTCTGATCCACTCAGACCAGCACAACACACACTAACACACCACCACCACGTCAGTGTTACTGCAGTGCTGAGAATGACCTATCACCCAAATAGTACCTGCTCTGTGAGGGTCCATGGGGGTCCTGACCACTGAAGAACAGGGTAAAAGGGGGCTAACAAAGTATCAGAGAAACAGATGGACTACAGTCTGTAACTGTAGAACTACAAAGTGCACCTATACAGTAAGTGGAACTGATAAAATGGACAATGAGCGTTGTTCTTCAAGGGTTCTTTAGTAAGAAAATGGTTCTATATAGAACCATCTACAGCACATTCCCCATCTATCTGAAGAACTCTTTCATGGTACAAAAAGAACCCTTTAATCATGCCAAGGGTTCTTCAAGCATTTTTTTTTACTAAAGAACCCTTGAAGAACAACTGTGTATATGGCACAAAAAGTGTTCTGCTATGGTTACAATGTCAAGCTTGTAACAACAGAAGAATCCTTTTTGGCACTAGAACCATTTTCAAAAAGGTTCTAAATAGAACCACATACTACACATTCTCTGAAGAATCTGAAGAACAGTTTCACTGTAAGGACAAGCACAGAAGGTTCTATACTACGGAGCCCCGCTGGTGACATCCTGTATAAATAAAAATATTGAGTGGCCACAACTTAGTAAGGCATGGGAACAAGATAAGTAAGTTGTGCCTTACTAAAGCACAGGAACGAGATCCTAATGCATGGCCAGAACTTTGTAAGGCAAGATCTCATTCCTACGGAGCCCTGATGATGACATGCCATATAAACAAAAATATATGCATGGCCACGCCTTATTAACGTGTGGGAACGAGATCCTAATGCGTGGCCATGACTTAGTAATGCGTGGGAACGAGATCACGGCTTACCAGGTCGTGGCCACGCATTATTTTTACTTATACAGGATGTCACCAGCGGGGCTCCGTACATTCCCACACCTTACTAAGTCATGGCCACTACTTAATTATCTCATTCCCACGCCTTACTAATTCATGGCCATGCATTAGGATCTCGTTCCAGCGCGTTAATGAGGCGTGGCCACGCATTATTTTTATTTATATGGCATGTCAGAACCCTTGTACGGAGCCCCACTGGTGACATCCTGTATAAATAAAAATAATGCGTGGCCACGACTTAGTAAGGCGTGGGAATGAGATGATTAAGTCGTGGCCACGACTTAGTAAAGCATGGGAATGAGATGATTAAGTCGTGGCCACAACTTAGTAAAGCGTGGGAACGAGATCAAAGCTTACTAAGTCGTGGCCACGACTTAATCATCTCATTTCCACGCCTTACTAAGTCGTGGCCACGACTTAATCATCTCATTCCCACGCATTAATAAGGCGTGGCCACGCATTATTTTTGTTTAAGCGTTTAGGCCTGGGAATGAGATGATTAAGTTGTGGCCATGACTTAGTAAAGTGTGGGAACGAGATCCTAATGCGTGGCCACAACTTAGTAAGCCGTGATCTCGTTCCCACGCTTTACTAAGTCGTGGCCACAACTTAATCATCTCATTCCCATGCCTTACTAAGTCGTGGCCACGACTTAATCATCTCATTCCCACGCATTACTAAGTCGTGGCCACGCATTATTTTTGTTTTTACAGGATGTCACCAGCGGGGCTCCGTAAGGAACCCTTGAGGAACCATCTGTTGTTCTTTAAGTGTGCGGGCTACGAGCTGCTGCACGCTAGTGTGTAACCAACTTTCGAAACCAGCGAAAGGAAGTCCTGTAAAGACGGCTCGGTGCTCACAAAACACGAATTATAGAAGAGAAATTAAATAAAATAATGTTTTTTTCATCATATTTACACCCCAGCAGAACCAGAATCCCCCCACACTGTCAGAGAACATAACGTTAAGCGACGGGCGGTAAAGAAAGTGACTTAAGTCCTAAAATGGAGGTGGCTGCTCGCTTCTTCAAAACATAAGAAAGCTGCTTCCTCACCGGAGACGTTGAGCTGTCCTCCCCCGAACCAGCTGATTCTGCCCGCCCTCAGGTCGCAGTCGCTGACCTGCTGGAAGGCTCTGCTCCAGGTCAGCCTGTCTTTGGCCACGGAGCCCCAGAAAGTCTCCGGCTCCTTCACGGACAGCTCGTACAGCTCTGCGTACGACTTGCCAGCCAGCTGCGGGCTCAGGGGAGGAGTGATGCCGCCGGAGAGGCTCCTACCGCAGCACTGAGAGGAGAACCACGGGCTCCTTCTGAGGCACCATTTCCTCCTGAGAGGCACGCCGACTCTGTGGAAGAAGGGCAGGAGGATCGAGCTCGTCCGTGCAGCCATGATTCAAGCCTCCATCTGCTCGAGAAGCAGCAGCGTCTGAGTCTTTCACAACTTTCCTCAACAAGCTGTCGACCGCAGGCCACGCCCACTATTTTACTATTGAAACTCCCGCTACAGGACACGCCCACCGCAAAAGGCGCCCGAATCGAGGTCACGCCCACATGTGACACGTCTGCAGTAAACAGCCCTCTAAGGACACGCCCACCGTGTGCAAGTCTGCCTAGGTAGACACGCCCACTGCAAGATGAGATATGAAGGGCGCTGCGTTTCTGTGATGCAGTTTGAGCTCCTGGGCAGTTTATTAGTTATTTTTGTAGAAAGAAATAGATTATTGATGAATTATTAATGAATTATGGCATGAATGTTGTCTCTTATCACAAACATGTACAGTAACAGCCTAAAACAGGGATTTCTACAGGATTTATATTTAAAAAATCTGTAATCAATTCAGACATTTACTACAGGATACTATACAAAGTACTAATTAAAAAAAGATGGTCCTTCAAAGGTTCTTTAGTAAAGGCAATGGTTCTATTTAGGGCCATGAGTTCTATACAGAAGCATTTGTATGCTTAAATGGTTCTTTGTACACTCTTAGCAAAAAAGGTTCTATATAGTACCAAAAAGAATCCTTTGGCTTGTAACAATAGTGGAATCCTTTTGGGTGCTATATAGAACCCTTTTCAAAAACGTTCTATATAGAACCATCTACAGCACATTCTCCATCAGTCTGAAGAACTTTCATGATGCAAAGAACCCTTTAGTCATGCAAAGGGTTCTTTGAGTGTTCATGGTTCAAAACCCTTTAAGAACCATCTTTTGTTTTAAGAGCTTATGGTGAAATTGTTCTTCAGATTGATAGAGAATGTGCTGTAGACAGTATAGCACCAATGTCAAGTGTGTAACAATAGCAGAATCTTTTTCGGTGCTAGAACCTTTATAGAACCTTTTTTGGTGCTGCATAGTGCCATTTTCAAAAGGGTTCTGTATAGAACCATTTACAACATATTCTCCATCAATCTGAAGAACCATGCAAAGAACCATTAAAGCATGCATATGGTTCAATATAGAAATTGTGGTTCTAAATAGAATCATTGCCTTTACTAAAGAACTATCTTTTTAAGTGTGTAGTATATATATTATGCATGACTATTAAACAGTGCTACGGGAATCTTTTCTTAGAGTACGACTCTCTGATCTGCACTGATTGGTATATTTAACTGCTTCATACTATTTAAATGCATTATCATATGACAAACGTGTACTATTACTACAGGAATTTCTACAGGATTCCTACACACTTAAAAAAGATGGTTCTTTAAGAGTTCTTTATCAAAGAAAATGGTTCTGTATAGAACCATGAGCACAAAGAACTTTTTGCATGGTTAAGTCTTAAGAGGTTTCATGTATCAAAAGTTGCATTCTGGCTCCTTAATGGCCTCATAAAGCAGAGGATCCAGAGATATTCCAAGGGAAAAAAAAGGCATAAGATAAAACATACACAGTTTGGGACATTTTTGTTCACCACAGAGTGCAGAATTGGGGGTGAGTGTGTTATGTAAGGGATCTGCTGATCTGCCATGTTCAGTGACCCAGTTAACACACTAATAGGGAAGGTAAGTTTTCATCTATTGGAAGAAGGTTTAAATGCTTTCCAATAATTATCTGATGACAAATAAAATCACAGAGGTTTATTATAAGCTTATCCAACAAATTTAACCAGGAAAAAACCTTTTTAGTGTCAAGATTTAAGGGTGTCTATTGATACAAACTGTACTTTTTGTGTCTTAAAGCCACAATTATTCTGGCTTTGTGACCATTTCTTTAGTATTTTCTCATCTTTTACAGTTTTAACATAACAAAAAAAAGGGCCTAAAGCAACAGTTTAGTGCATCCTGCATGGTCAGTATTTAGTTACACCCCCTTTGGCAGGTATCGCAGCTTGTAAACACTTCTGCAGCCAGCTTAGAGTCTTTCAGTTCTTGTTTGGGGGATGTTCGCCCATTCCTCCTTCCAAAAGCCTTCTAGTTCTGTGAGATTCTCAGGCTGTCTTGCATGCACTGCTCTTTTAAAGTCCACAGATCCACAGATTTTCAGTGATGTTTAGGTCAGGGGCTTGTTTGGGCCATGGCAAAGCCTTCAGCTTGCACCTCTTAAGGTAGCCCACTGTGGATTTTAAGGTGTGTTTAGGATCATTATCGTATTCTAGAAGCCATCCTCTTTTCATCTTCAGCTTTTTTTACAGACAGTGTGATGTTTGCTTTCAGAATTTTCTGGTATTTAATCGAATCCATTCCTCCCTCTGCCAGTGAAATGTCCCCTGTGCCACTGGCAGCAACATGAGCCCAAAGCATGATCAATCCGCCCCCGTGTTTAACAGTTGGAGCGGAGTTCTTTTCATGAAAATCTGCACCCTTAGTTCACCAAACAAACAAACCTTTGCTCATTCCGGCCAAAAAGGCCTATTTTAACTTTATCAGTGCAGAGGATTTGTTTCCATAATGCATCAGCCTTATTTAGATGTTCCTTTGCAAAGTTCTGATGCTGAATTTTGTTTGATGCTGAAAGTTTTTTTCTAATGATGAAGGTCGTATTTGTGCAGGTGTCGCTGCACAGTAGAGCAGTGCACCACCAATCCAGAGTCAGATAAATCTTCCTGAAGGTCTTTTGCAGTCAAATTAAATTAAACCAATGTATCAATAGAGTTCCATTCATCTATTGCACTTTAGTTACATGTGGTACGATTTGCCTCTCTAGCAACCCTACAAGCAGTTTTCCTGGTCTTCCAGACCTCGACTTGACCTCCACCGTTCCTGTTAACCTCCATTTCTTAATTACTTTACGAGCTGAGATAACGACTACCTGAAAGCACTTTGCTATCTTCTTTCGGCCTTCTCCTGCTTTGTGGGCATCAGTTATTTTCATTTTACGAGTGCTAGATAGCTGCTTAGAGGTGCCCATGTTTGCTGATTGTTGGGATGAAGTTCGTAGAGTCAGAGTATTTATAAAGCTTTGAAATTTACATCACCCAGTCTTTCCTAACGATGACTGGAGACTTTGGTAGAAGTTATCTGAGAGCTCAAATCACTTGGGGTGCCAAAACTTTTGCACGGTGCTCTTTTCCTTTTTTCCACTCTAAAATTGTTCTAAACAAAAATAAAAAACAAAACTCGCTTAAAATGTCGAAAAGAATGTTTCTTCTTTAGCTTTATGCCTTTCAGAGATTCAGTTCATCGTCTAATCACTTAACTATTCACAGCAACAGACATTTGGACGGGGTGCACAAACTTTTGCACGCACACAAGTGTAAGGTGCAAATGAGTACACATTTAGAAGAGATGGTTCTTCAAGGGTTCTTTGGCAAAGAAAATGGTTCTATATAGAACCATGAACACTTGAAGAACCCTTTGCATGATTTGAGGGCTCCTTGCATCATGAAAGGTTCTTCACATTGATGGAGAATGTGCTGTAGATGGTTCTATATAGAACCCTGTTGGAAAGGGTTTGATACAGCACCTAAAAGGGTTCTTCTGTTGTTATAAGCTTGACATTGTAACAATAGAAGAACAATGTTTAGTGCTATACAGAACCCCAAAAAGGCTCTAGATAGAACCATCTACAGCACATTCAATTTGAAGAAGAACCATTTATTGATGCAAAGATGTTAAGCTTGTAACAACAGAAGAACCGTTCTTCAGATTCTACAGAGAATATGTTGTTTATGGTTCTATATAGAACCTTTTTGAAAATGGTTCTAGTGCCAAAAATGGTTCTTCTATTGTTACAAGCTGGACATTATAACCATAGCAGAACAGTTTTTGGCGCTATATACATACTTGTTCTTTAAGGGTTCTCTAGCAAAAAATGGCTCTATATAGAACCATAAATACTCAGAGAACCCTTTGATTAACTTTGATTGAGAACTCTTACCCTTTGATTAAAGGGTTCTTTGCTTCATGTAAGGGCTCTTCAGATTGATGGAGAATGTGATTCTGTGTAGAACCTTTTTAAAATGGTTCTAGCACCAAAAAAGGTTCTCCTACTGTTACAAGCTCAACATCGTAACAATACCAGAACACCTTTTTGGTGCAACATGCACACTTCTTCTTCAAGGGTTCTTTAGTAAAAAAAATGTTCTACATAGAACCATGAACACTCAAAGAACCCTTTGCATGATTAAAGGTTCTCCGCATCATGTAAGCGTTCTTTAGATTGATGGAAAATGTGTTGTAGCTAGTTCAATGTAGAACCTTTTTGAAAATAGTTCTATATAGCACCAAAAATGGTTCTTCTGTA